TATCCTATTAATTCGCGGGCCAGAATAAAGTGGATAACTCAGAATATATTGCATGAAGACATTAAAAATATACATATAATTTTAAGTTATCAGTATTTGGTGTCGCCGCAATCGCAGATGATCTCCGTCATCATCGCCTTTCAGTAATAGCAAGCAGTTTAGGTTCGGTAAAGATTTGACGTGAAAAAAATCATTCCCCCATGACACTACAGATGTTGGGAAAGATTATTACTTAGTCGATAAATATCCATCGGTCAGCACATCGATTACAAATTTCCGTGATGGAAATCTTAGTACATGGCTTTTTCGTCACTGGTCCACAGGGTTGCATCGACCATGTGTTCGCCATTGTTCTATTACGTCATTTAAGTGAACCGCCCTATGGTGCGTAAATTGACATTTTTGATTGGTCTGGCGATTGACCTCGTATCACATTTCATTATACCGGATTCGGTAAAAAACACAAAGTTAAGCGGTCATGTACCTTCTATAAATCTAACCTTGCACACATAATCTTGTACTGACGTGTTTTTTGTCCTAGAAGGACGTTCCCTTTCATTTAACCCCCAGTTAACAATTCGCGTCCATGGTATTTGTGAGAGTTGAAAGATTCTTTAAACAAATGAACTATATTGATTTGCGTCAAGCTGGGTGGCCCGAATTTAAATATCAGTGCATGAACTCTGGATGTCATTGCCCAATGCCGCACGTAATTCAAACGCGTGGTTATTAGCGTTCAGTCGAAATGTACGTGAATAATGCGATCCGCTACCCAGAGTTTATTGTATTAAAGTAAAATTTAATTTGACGTATGGTATGTTTATGTTTGCATAAATATTACGAATGCAACGCATTATCAAGTCGGTGATATTGAAATATTCACAGACCCAATACCCCGGGTCAGTGCCCTAACAATAGTTAAAAAAACTAATTATCATGAAAGCAATACATTACGAAGTTGAAATATTCAGAGCTGGTACAATATTGTAAACAAATTTGCGTAATTAGAAAAGCAGTGCACTAAGTAAACGACGTTGATATGTTCAAGCCAGTACAGAGTTGCATACAAGTTGCGTAATTACAGTACCTTCGGGTATAATAACAATTTTACTAGTTTGACGCGTGGGGCACGAAAGAAAAAGGTTGCTAAGGTAACGCGCCAGTTCAGTGCGTGACTTGGGGGTCAAACTTCGGTCAACACACACTTGATGTCAGCATCGCCGCGCAACAAGTTTCGACTTTGGCCTGCTTTTCCTTCTTGTTCACGTAAAATGCGACCTTTCACCAATGTATTAAAACACTTTGAATTTATACTTTGCATAATTATATTTGGTCAACGCGAAACATTATTTTTTCTAAACATTTTCTGAGACTATTTTTATCAATGCAGAGTTATTTTTCCAGACAAGATGGGCTTTGTAATATCTGCCATAACATCGCCCGGGCGATGCCTAGAAAAATAAAAAAAGGCAGTGCAGCCAGACAGCTACTTTGTAGCCACGTGTTCATTGTTTGTTTGTGTACAGAGTGACCTTTGCCATTTTTCACTGTTTCATTTCAAGTGTAACATGGTGCGTGGTCCTTGACGCAGTGCGTGTTCTCTGTCCGACTATACCATGAATGTCGCTAGCCATGAGTCTCAGA